CCCTTCATCAGAAAAGCTTTTCTGATGAAGGGTCTAGGCCCGAAACGTCAGCCTCTCTGCTCCTATGATGCTGCTTGGCCTGCTGTGTTCATCCAGCCCTGCACCTTGTTGTCTCGGATTCTCCAGCATCTGCAGTTCCTACTATCTCTGATTTCATTTTTAATGGGTTTCTTTTCACAATTTACCATTAGGTGTTGGAATCAGAAACCCTGAGGTTTCAATGTCCTAATTGTTCAGCAGTAGTCTTTGAATTATGCCACATACGCAAAAAAAGGACCATTTTTCCCAAAAGTGACCACTATTTCTGGGCTATCTCAGTCAGAGTTAATCCACATTTTCAAAGCGACATAGCAGCGGTGGCCCTTCGGCCCCCTCAGATATATTTTTATTCATTCATAGGATGTGGATGTTGCTGGCTATGGTGGCTTTTATTGCTCATTCCCAATTGCCCTTGAGAAGATGGTGGTGAGCTGCCTTCTTGAACCGCTGCAGTCCATTTGGTATACATAGACTCACAATACTGTTCTATAGGGAATTCTAGGATCTTAACCTCACATCGCTGAAGGAACAGTCATGGCAGAATGGTGAGTGATTTGAAGGGGGACTTGCAGGTGGTGGTGTTCCATTTATGTGCCTCCTTTTTCCTTCTAGATGGAAGAAGTCTTGAGTTTGGAAGGTGCTATCTACAGAGTCTTGGTGAATTTCTGCAGTGAATCTTGTAGATAGCAGCAGTGTGCACTACTAAGTGGTGTAGAGAGTGGATGTTTGTGGATGTGGTGCCAATCAAGTGGGCTGCTTTGTCCTGGATGATGTCAAGCTTCTCAAGTGTTGTTGGGGCTGCACTCATCCAGGCAAGTGGGGAGTATTCCATCACACTCCTGACTTGTGCCTTGTAGCTTGTGGACAAGCTTTGTGGAGTCAGGAGGTGAGTTACTTGCTGCAAGATTCCTAGCCTCTGTCCTGCTCTTGTAGCCACTACATTTATATGGCTAGTCCACTTTATTTTTTGGTCAATGGTAACCCCCACTCTGTTGATAGTGAGGTACTCAGCAACGGTAATGCCATTGAATATCAAGGATTTGAAGGGGTGACGGTTAGATTCTCTTAGAGATAGGAATTGCCTGACATTGATGCCAGACTTTGTCAAATACTGTCTTGATATCAAGGGCAGTTGCTCTCCCCTCACCTCTGGAAAGCAGCTCCATGTATGAACTAAGGCTGTAATGAGGCCAGGGGCCTTGGGTGAACCCAGGCTAAGCATTACTTAGCGGTTTATTGCTTAGTAAATCCTGTTTGATAGCACTGTTGATCACCCCTTTCATTACTGATGATCAAGAGTAGACTGGGTTAGGGGGATTGGCTAGGTTAAATTTAACTTACTTTTTTGCACAGGGTGTATCTGGGCGACTTTTCACATTGTTGGTTAGATGCCTGTGTCTTGCTGTACTGGAGAAGCATGGCTAGGAGCATGACAAGTTTGGAGCACATGTCTTCAAAACTGTTGCCAGAATGTTGTCAGGGTCTGTAGCCTTAGCCATATCGGTGCCTTGCACTATTTCTTGGTGTCACATGGAGTGAATTGAATTGGCTAAAGACCATCCTGTGTGACGCTGGGGGTGTCCACAAGAGGCCGAGATGGATTATCCACTTGACACTTCTGTCTGAAGGTTGTTGTGAAAGCTTTTGCACTGGTTTTGCGTGACCGCCCCCCACCCCCACCCCCCGCCATTATTGAAGCTAAGGATATTTGTAGAGCCTCCTTCTCCAGTGAGTCGTTTAATTGTTCACCACCATTCGCAGCTGGATATGGCAGGACTGCAGATCTTAGATCTGATCTGCTGGTTGTGAAATTGCTTTGCTCTGTCTATCACTTGCTCATTATTCTGTGTGGCATCGTCTTGTGTTGTAGCTTCACCAGATTAACTCCTCATCTTTACAAGTCCTTCTTGCCTACACTCTTCATTGAACCAGGGTTGATCCCTTAGCTTGTTCCACCATTATAGATCATGGATGATGGTCAACCTCAATGCTACTTTCCTTCACTATCCCCATACCCTTGTTAGCATTAATACCTAGAAATCTATCCATTTCTTTCTTGCATATAATCAATGAATGAGCTTTCATGGCCCTCTGAGGAAGAAAATTCTAAGTGAAGAAATTCCTCCTCATTTCCATCCTAAATAGCCTGCATCTTATTCCAAGACTCTATCCCTTGGTTCTAGACTCCCTCAGTCAGGGGAGCCTCCTTTTTGCATCAACCCTCAAATGTTTTGTTGGTTTCTGTGATTAATTCTCATTCTCCTAATCACTGGAGAAACAGGCCCAGTCTTCTCAATTTCTTCTCAGGATCATTCTGCCATCCCAGGGATTAGTCTGGTGAATCTCCACTGCATTTGCTTAATGGTAACTATCTCCTGTTTTACCTAAGAGATTCAAATACTTCAGGTGTGGTTTTACCAAGGTTCTATACAATGGAAGCAAAATATCTTTATTTCTGCATTTAATCTCCTTGTGATAAAGGCCGACATACCATTTGCATTTTTTAATTGTTTTCATGTACGTTACACTTAGCTCCACATGCAGAAATGGTGCTGCCTGGATCATGTTCTTTCCATCTATTAAAAGAAAATGCATTTCTAGTAATCTCTTAGTTTGAGCTCTTATTAAAAGCACTGTCCCCACAATCACAGTTACTCATGTTTATACAACACCTTCAAATGGAAAAATGTTTCCAGGGTGTGCTATATTTGATCTGAAGAAGATATTTGAGGGGACAATAAAAACTTGATCAAAGAGATGGGCTTTATAAAGAGTCTTCAGTTGGTGTTTAGAGATGCAATTGCAGAGCTTGGAAGCCTAAGTGGCTATTGGCACGACAATTAATAGTGGCTAGCAAAGCATGTTCTTAGGAAGCACAAGAGGGTAGTTTTTTTCAATTCACTTTTGGGGTGTGAGCATCATTGGCTGGCCAGTACTTTTCATTGCCCATCACTAGTTGCCCTTGAGAAGGTGGTGGTGAGCTGCCTTCTTGAACCACTGCAGTCTACATGATGTAGGTAGACCCACAATGTCCTTAGGGAGAGAATTCTAAGATTTAGACCCACAGGGAAGGAATGGCAATATATTTCCAAGTCGGGATGGTGAGTGGCTTGAAGGGGAAATTTCAGGTGGTGATGTTCCCATGTTTCTGCTGCCCTTGTCCTGTGGTGGTGGTCATGGGTCTGGAAGGTACAGTCTAAGTGCACCTTGTTGATAGTACACACTGCTGCTACTGAGCATCAGTGTCAGAGGGATTGGATGTGGTGCCAATCAAGCAAGTCTCTTTAACCTGGATAATGTCAAGTTTCTTAGTGTTGTTGGAGCTACATCCATCCAGGCAAATGAGGTGTATTCCATCACACTCCTGACTTGTGCCTTGTACACGGTTGGGGGGGCTACAGATGAAATCAGTATATTCCATCATTGTTCAGAACAAGTTTGTCATTCGTAGAGGGTACGTGGAGTGATCTGTCGTTCTAAATATGACTGTAAACCTAATCCACTCGGACAGCCCACAAGTGGTACTTGTACTTGGTCTCTGTGGAATTTATGCAGCTCCTGATGAGAAATTGGGAAAAGGATAGTTTAACTTTCTCTTTATATTGAGTCACAGTGTTAAATGTTCACCAAAGCTCCCTGACTCACTAGTTTGGAGGGGTGGGGTTAAAAAAACAAGGAACTTGAAAAGAGCCCATGAATTTCAATTTGACAAGTGTTCTATTATTAAGGCTGTCCATTGTGAACCCTGATCCTTACACTATTTAAATTCATCTTGTAGCAACTTCTGATGGTCACGATTTACATTCTCAAGGGAATTTTGAGAGATTTTGCTTTTCGATCAGATGGAGGTCATTAGATGCAGTGCTTTAAATATTGTGAAGTCAATTTTTTGATACATGCTGCTATCTAACAAGCTTGCATTACAGGGAAAATTACAACCAATGTATCTCTGAACACTTTGCCTGTGAGTTACATGCAAGAAAGCCTCATGTTGATATTTTGTTGAACTTATTTATTGTACAATGTTTTTAATAACTAGAGATTGAGAACTTGTATGATCTTCGTCATTTCTAATCTGTTATTTTTAGTGGAGTTTTCCTTTTTGCAAATCCTCTGTAATTTATTGTGATGATTTGCTGATTATTACTTATTTGTTGCCTTAAAGTGAGCAGAATAAAATCTCTTTAAAGTGTTGTACAAATAATGTTCCTGCATTCAGCTCACCCCATCCTTCTGAATATTGTGCACTTTTTTAACCCAGTAAAATACTCTATATGTATATTTCTTGCGAGCATTTGCCTAGACATTGAAAGCAATGTTTTCCTCCTTTATCATTAGGTGCAACAAGCCAGAGCTGAAACCATTGGCAATAGGTGTACACACCCTGATAGCAAGAACACTTGGTGAGTCACTTCTTCATTTCCATTACTTTTCCATAAATCAGTGGTTTGACTGAACACCTTGGGGAATAGGGAGACATTGTTGTGTCAGTGGAATCATAAATGTCATGAACTAATTCACCTTCTTTGACTTAGTTTCATTAAATCTTTAAAACCTTTCATGATTTTTCTGGAAATAGCAACTTGGAACCAGAAATACTGATTTTGTCATTTTAGATGCAAAGGCGAATATTCAGGTAACATGGGTTTGTATCCCATCCTGGCAGATTGTGAAATTTAATTTCAGTTAATAAATGAAGCTAGCCTAACGGTCACCATAAAATCATTGTCCATTTTCCCAAAAACCTATCTGGTGCACTGTCAGTTTGGGAAATAATGCAGATGTAGTTGACTCTTAAATGCCCTCTGAAATGGCCCAGGAAGGCATTCAGATGTGACATACAGTCACAACGTCTAAAGAAAGGAATGAAAGTGAATAGATTGTCCAGCATTGACCAAGGTACTCAAAATGACAAGAGCATTGTTGATCCCATAGAGCCCTCCTTACTAAACTCTGGAGGCTTGTGCCAATACTGGAGAGTTGCCCCACAGACTAGTCAAGCAATATCCTGACATAATCTACTTGTGGAATGTTTTAAAAGTTCACTCATGGGATCTGGATGGGATTGGCAGCAACTACCATCAATCCCTAGTTGCCCTTGAGAAGGTGGAGGTGAGCTGCCTGTTGAACCATTGCAGTTCTTATGGTGTGGGTAGACCCACAAAGCTGTTAAGGAGGGAATTCCAGGATTTCAACCCAGCGACAGTGAAGGAATGGTGATATGCTTTCAAATCAGGATGGTGAGTGGATTGGAGGGGTACTTGACGATGGTGGTGTTCCCATGTATTTGTTGCCATTGTCCTTTTTAGATGGAAGTGGTCATGTGTTTTGATAATGCTATCTAAAGAGTCTTGGTGAATTTCTGCAGTGCATCTTGTAGATGGTACACACTGCTGGTGGAGGGCTAGTAATTTTGTTGATGCAACGCCAGTCAAGCGGGCTGCATTGTTCTGGATGGTGTCAAATTTCTTGAATGTTGGTGGAGCTGCACTCTTCCAGGCAACTGTGGAGTTTTCCATCACACTCTTGTCTTGTGCCTTGTAGATTGTGGACAGGCTTTGGGGAGTCAGAGGGTCTGTTACTTGCCCCACGATATCTAGCCTCTGAACTGCTCTTGTAACCATAGTATTTACATGGCTGGTCCAATTCAGTTTCTGGTCAGTGGTAACCCCAGGATGTTGAATCATACTTTGCACATGGTCCCAAACACCATTATTACAAGCATTTGGATCTGTCCTGTCCCACTGACAGGACATACTAGCAGCAGCAGTGGAATGGTGGTATACAGTTGGGAGAAGTTACCCTGGAAGTCATTCAACTCAACTCCAGAACCCACAAAGTCTTATGGCATCAAGTCAAACATGGGCAATGAAATCTTCTGCTGATTACTACACCCTCAACCGTGCCCATCTCCCTCTAACTGATGAATCCATACTCCTTCATGTTGAACACTACGTGGAGATGCACTGAAGGTGGCAAGGGCACCAAATGTCCTCTGGGTGGGGGATTTCAATTGCCTACAGGTGGCTCAGCAGCATCAGTTAGACTGAGCTGACCAAGTTCTAATGGACTCTGCAGTCCTTGTGGAGACAAAGTTGAGGATAACCTCATCATGCTCTGTGGCAGGACCAGTGTTAAATGAGAGAGATTTCAAAAAGACCTAGCACCCCAAGACGAGGGCTATCCTAGCAAACCATGCTGTGGGCTATCAGCAGCAGAACTGTACTCAAACACAACCTGTAACCTCAGATTATTAACCCACGGGCCATCATAACACTGCTCTACCAATACCGTCAAGCCAGCAGATCATTCCTGGTTCAATGAAGAGTGCAAGAGGACATGCCAAGAGCATCAGGCGTAACTTAAAAATGAGATGGCAACTTGATGAAGCTACAACACAGGACTACCTGCATGCCAAACACTAGAAGCAGCATGCAATAATGGGACGATGTATCAGATCTATACTTTGCAGGCCTCCCATACCCAGTTGTAAATGGAGGTTAGCGATTAGACAATTCACTGGAGAAGATAGTTCCACAAAAATGTAAAAGCCAGGCATGTCAGTGCAAAAGGTGAGGCTGAAGTAACCTCTTCAGTCACAAGAATCGAGTGGATAATCCATCTTAGCCTCTTTCTGAGGTCCCCAGCATCATAGATGTTAGTCTTGAGCCGATTCAATTCACTCAACATGAGATCATGAGATGGATGAAGACATTTGATATTGCAAAGGCTATGGGCTCTAATGACAATGATTTGACCTCCAGAAGTAGCTGTGCCCCCAACCAAACTATTTCAGTAGCAATACAGCAATGCCATCTACATGGCAATGTGGAAAATTGCCCATATATCCGAAAAAAAGAGGACATCCACAAAAAGCAGGACAAATCAAACCAGCCTCTTGATGCAGGAATGGTTGACAGTCCTATTAGGTGCATGTACTCAACAATAAACTGCTGACTGATGCTCAGTTTGGTGTCTGCCAGGACCACTCTGTTCCTGACCTCTTTACAACCGTGGTCCATAATTGGGCACAAAAAGCTGAATTGAAGATGGAAAATGAGGGTGAATACATCAGAGCAGCATTTGACTGTATGTTATCAAGGACATGGGGGTCAATTAATTGAGTTGACTGGACAGCTGGTTCGCAATACAGAGTAACACCAAGAGTATAGGTTCAATTACTGCACTGACTGAGGTTATCATGAAGGACTATCTTTCTCGACCTCTCCCTCCCCTGAGGTGTGGTGACCTTCAGATTACACTACTGTCAGTTGTCTCTTTCTAATGAGCTCAATGGTCCGGAAGGTGTAACAACTTTCTCAAGGAGCCCTAGCAAAACTGGAAGCAATGTCAATCAGCGGGTAAACTCCACTAGATGGAGTCATACTGGGGTCAAAGGAAGACAGTCGTGGTTGTTGGAGATAAATCATCTCAGCTCCAGGACATCTCTGCAGGAGTTCCTCAGGGTAGTGTCCTAGATCCAACCATCTTCAGCTGCTTCGGCAATGACCTTCCCTCCATCATAAGGTCAGAATCTGAGATGTTCACTGACTGCACAATGTTCAGCACCATTTGTGACTTCTTAGATACAGAAGCAGTCTGTGTCCAACTGTAGCAAGACCTGAACAGTATTCAGGCTTGGACTAAGAAGTGGCAAGTAATATTTGTACTGCAAAAATGCCAGGCAATGACTATCTCCAATAAAAGACAATCCAGCCATCACCCCGTTACAATGATATTACCATCACTGTACTCCCTATAGCAATATCATTGGCCAAAAACTAAACTGGACCGAAGATAACTGCAGATACAAGGTCGGATTAGAGGCTGGGAATTCTGCTGCGAGTAACTCTCTTCCTGACTCCTCAAAGCTCATCAATAATTCTTGAGGCTGAAATCGAGAGTGTGATGGGATATTCACTACTTGCCTGGATGAGTACAGCTTTAACAACACTTGAGGTTCAACACCATCCAGGATAAAGCAGTCCATGTAGTGTGTACCATTGACATGATGCACTGCAACACTCATCAAGGCTCTTAAACAGCACATTCCAAACTTGTGGCCTCTACCACCTAAACCAAAAAAAGGGCAGCAAATATCTGGGATCACCAAAATTTCCAATTTAAGCCACACCCCATCCTGACATAGAACCAAATACTCTCTCCTTCACTGTCATTGGGTCAAAATCCTAGAGCTCCCTCCCGAACAGCAGTGTGGGTGTACCTACTGCACACGGATTGCAGTGGCTCAAGATAGCAGATCACCATCACCTTCGCTGAGTTATCCAACAATTTGTTTTAGTAACTTTAGCCTCAATGCCTTAATGCCATTACCTCTATCATTCTTGACGTCCCCACAATTATTACAAAGCAACTAAAGGAATTTCTTCATCCCAAAATTACCTGTAGGATAGTCACCTAGTTCAACCGTGTAGAATAACTGTATAGATTAGCAACAATGTGCAGTTATATAGAACGTATAACATTGAAACATCCCACACTGCTTCTCAGGAGTGTTAGTAAGTAATATTTGACAGTGAGACAAATAAGGAGATATTATGATAAGTGTCCCTGATCAAAGATTATAGCATTTAAGGAAGTAGAGATATCTGGGGAGGGAACTGGGGCCTAGGCAGCTGAATGCACAGCCACACATGCTCAAGTATTTACAATTATAATGATCAACGTTAAGTTGTCAAACACTCACTGCAACCCACTGATGTGTAGAGTTAGGAGCTATAGATAAGTAATGTTTCAGCATGTTAATAAGTCCAAAATCTGAGTATAGATTGACTTCTGGTCTCCTCCTTCAGCAACCAGGCTATCAGAAATTTAACAGGTAGTGATGTCCGTACTCAGCATCATGCAGGGGACAAACACAGAATGTCTATGCACCTGCTAACAGGCAACGAGTGAATTTAAGGGGAGGCTAGAGCCAGTGCCTTATGCACACTTTTACCTCCTGGGTTGAGCTGTGGTTCAGTGAGAACCGGAATGTGTGTTCTACTCAGTAGTTTCACATGGCAATGTCAGATGAATTGTCGTGAGGTTTATAAATTCATAATAGTAAAAAATGTGTATTGATTCAACCTGACTCTGTAAAGCAGCCTGGCTCCATTTGAGAGACAAGGTGAAACTGTTGCCAGAGGTAGCTGTGCAATGTACTTTGCCACTCTGTGTTGATCTCAGTGCAATTATATCCAATACATATTAGTTAAGAGGGAGATGTCAGTGAACATTTTTCATCTTGTGTTCATCAAGACAAATACAAGAATGCCAAATTTCAAATAACTACAATTTATACTACAGCAGAAAATGGTTCCAAATGGCTTGCAAGGCAACTTTGATTGGCCAAGGCATTACTGTGATGAAAGCAACCTGGAATTGAAAGCTCCCTCAAACCTCCCTTTATACCCCTGTTGTATAAACTGTTGTGATCGTTTAAAGTTTGGTATTCTTGTGGTTGTCATGCTGAATCCAAAATGAAAAGCTTCAGCCACCCATTTCTTTTTTCAGAGGCATTCAACTTTTGAAATTGTTCCCAGTAGCCCCTAAGGAACTTTCTCTTATATAGGTAAACTGTTCCTTTGTAACTTCAGCAAAGTACCAGTTTCCCATTCCAAATTAAACGGTGACAAAAACAGAAATTGCTGGGAAAGCTCAGCAGGTCTGGCAGCACCTTTGGAGAGAAATCAGAGTTAACGTTTCAGGTCTGGTGACTATTCCCCAGAGCTCTGAGGAAGGGTCACTGGACCTGAAAGGTTAACTCTGATTTCTCTCCACAGGTGCTGCTAGACCTGCTGAGCTTTCCCAGCAATTTCTGTTTTTATTTCTGATTTATAGCATGTGCAGTTCTTACTTTTCCAAACTAAATGCTTGTGACCAGGTGTCATATTTTCTCATCAACCTGCTCAGAGATGTTATTACACACCTCTGGAGCAGGTGAGACTTGAACCCACACCTCCTTGTTCAGAGGTAGGGATACTACCAATGGGCCCTCATGACCACATGTCTGCTTATGATGGTTACCTGTATCACTTGAACTCTGATTCCTTTTAATCCAAACGATACGCAGTCAACAGTATAGCTCAGTGCTGCTTTGTGGAACTTACAACTTAGGAAATGGCCAGTCAGCCCATGTTGGCTTTAAACGTATGACTATCAGTAGAATTCCATATACCTATCCACCGCCCATGTATAGTTTTTAAGATACTAAACAGTCCTGAAGCTTAGCTAACATTAATTGTAAACAAAATAACACGAGAGCAACAAAGGGGATGATTAAATTTGTGAATTATACTTATGATCATCCAAGTTGGAGAAGGAGAAAGACATTGTCTGAAATTGATGAGGCTGAATGCTCCCGTTTTCCTCCAGGTGATAAACAAATCAGCTATTCCATTAGGTCGAGAAAATTCAGCCGCGCAAGAGAGGTTTCGAGGCTCCACACACTCATGCATAATACATTTAAAATGAGCTTCTAAAAATAGCCCATGGCAGGATTGCACAGAAATGTGAGCTGGGGAAATCGAAATCTGTGATCGTGAAAATGAAGCTGTTTAAAAATATGGAGAGGAGGAGGAGGAGGAGTAGGCCACTCACATCTTCCCCACCATTCAACATGATCATGGTTGATCCTCTATCTCAATGCCATATTCCTACTATCTCCTCATTCCCCTTGATGCCTTTAAAATCTAAAAAAAACTTGTCAATCTTTTTCTTGAATATTTTCAGTGATGTGACCTTTGCAGCCTCTGTGGTAGAGAATTCCATCAGTTCACTCCCCTTCAGGTGAAGAAATGTTTCCTCATCTCAGCCCTAAATGGCCTACCCTGTATCCTGAGATGGTGAACCCGGGTTCGAGACTCCCCAGCCAGGGAAACATCCTCACTGCCTCTAGTTTGTCCAGCCCTGTTAGAATTTTATACATTTCAATCAGGGCTCCCTCTCATCCTTGTAAACTCTACTGAATACAGGCCCAATGAAACCAACCTCTCCTCTTGCAACCTCACTTCTCTTGCACACTCTCTGTGACAAGTATATCCTTTCTCAGGTAGGGAAACAAAAGCTACACACAATTCTCCATGTGTGGTCTCACCAAGGCCCCTTATAAACGCAGTAAGATATCCCCACCTCTGAACTCAATTCCTTTTGCAATGAAGGTCACAATACCACACCTTCCTAATTGCTTGCTGCATCTGGCCGTCTATTTTCATTGACTGGTGTACTAGGATACCCAGATCCCTCTGCACATTCACACTTCCCAATATATCACCATTTCAATCATACCTTTCTGTTTTCGCACTGAAGTGTATAACTTCCCATTCAGCAATATTATATTGCATCTGTCGCGCATTTACCAACTCACTCAACTTATCAAAATTACCTTGAAATCTCCTTGCATCTCCCATCAATCTTACTAAGTTTCCTGTTGTCAGCAAATGTGGAAATGTTATATTTGATCCCTTTGTTCAGATCACAATAGCTGGGACCCAAGCACTCCCTCATAGGTCCTGCTGCCTCTCCGAATCCTCAGTTATAAAATCTCTCCAACTCCATAATTTCAAGACTTCAACCAATCAGCATACAGATTTTTTGTAATGTTGCTCTTGCTTTGCTCAACAAGAACTGACTGGCGGGCACTCTTCCTGGACTATTTCACCACAATGCTGACTGTAGGGCACCCTTCCTGGACTATTTCACCACGATGCTGACTGTAGGGCACTCTTTCTAGACTATTTTACCACGATGCTGACCGCAGATCA